CCCCAAAACCCCAAAACCCCAAAACCCCTATAGACAAAATTTGCTATATTGGCAGATAAATTGGCTACATAAATTTATTAGGATCCTAATATAATTATTTATATATAGTTTAATGTGCTGTTGCTCGGTAAAATGCTGCAGAATATATCTAGCAGTATTAGCAACCATCGTGATCGTAAGTCCAAATTATACTTGTTTCGATATATTTTCCAAATTCCCTCAATTCATCTGAATAAGATATTTTTAGATTGCTGGAATAGTAGTATGTGTCTTCTCCGCGATGGTTAAAAATGAAGCAATCTTTGATTTTCACGATGACTTGCAAAAATATCGGCGTATTCCTTTTGCAATTTCTCTGACTTTTGGGATAATTATGCTATTAACTGGACTCTTTACCTTTTTTGTCTCCTATAAGTATAACAGAATCATGAGAATAATAGTAAGTTGCAAATTTGATAGAAATACTAATTAAGATATTTATTGACATAATTGGCCAACAAAATAATCTTTCACTTTATATATTAGATACTTAACATTAAACATTTTAGCTTGGATTTTTGAGTTTTAGTTTATTTATCACTTTCATTGTCTTTGGCTCACTTCTAATCAAAGAATATAGTAAGTTTATTTAAATTATGAAATTTATCATAATTTCGATAGATGAAGGAATGGAGGTCCTTGATTAAGTGTGCAGAAGAATGGATTCAAAAGACTATGATGAGAATAATGATATGCATAATCTAATCTTATTCGCTGGAGAATATGACATGATACTTTTGCTTTCCTCAAATACTTTTATGTGCTCTGAAATTTGCCCTTGTAAGAAGGCTGATATTAATCTATGGAATGAAAGATCTCTTAACTACATAGGAAGAACTAAATACTAATATAATGATACGGAATATAATTAAAATTATGATTTTGATCCACTTATTTTCCGCGATAAAGGTGGATACAGTAATTTCTTCGAGTGCTTGGAAATTGACAAAGCGATTGATAAAAAACATCCTGATGAATCAGAAATAATACCTGATAGCATGCTACGGTTTATAAAAAACCTTGAGGATACCTATCATTGCAACAATTTCTGTGAGTCTGGTGAATTCTATTTATTCAGAGATATAACTGAAGGTCCACCAAGAAGTAACTGTATGAAACCAATCCAATCATTGCTTAAAAGATTATTTCAAAGTGGTGGAGCTATCAGTTTCTTTGCCTCATTCTCATCATTCTTCTTGCTTGTAGGTTTGTTCTTCAATTGTAGGTATAAGAGCTTGAAGGATTATGAACAATGGAATAACTAAAATTAAAATAGAGAAAATGATAATTCTGCGATAGGATAGTTCAAAATTGACGAATCCAATGACATTGGCTATTAAAATAAAATAGGTCAGAAAGGTTTCCAAAAAAGAAAAGATGTAGTTGGAGGTAGAACTGTAAACATTGATGAAGATGGTCAAGTGTAGGTTGAATATGTACTCACTAATAATTAAGATTCATTTAGAAATGAGCCTGATCCCAGATAGTCTATTTAGAAGCTAAATAAAAATTATGACGATACCAAGATATGATTTTTAACAAGAAATTTGCCTAGTAATCACTAAAATTTCAAATCAAAAGAATTTGATTTTCATTAAATTTATTTATAATTCTTTAATGCTTTTGCTTTATCATTAATTCTGCTTGCGGGGTTTTGGGGTTTTGGGGTTTTGGGGTTTTGGGGTTTTGGGG